TTTTTTGAGATGAGGTTAAATGTTGTGTTCTTACCGAAATGTGTGCATTTTAGATTTTGTCCAGGTTGCCAGAAATTTGTTTTCCTTGCAATTGGATGAAGCAAATGTTGGTGCACAAGAAATTTCCAGTCTACTAGATTCACAGGTAGAGTATGCCCTATCCAGTTGTCTTAAATGAGCATAAGTCACAGGTCTTGAGTGGTACGGGTCATGTATGTAGGCTCTTTTTAATTCTGTCCTGCTTTTGCAAGAATTATACAAATACTACATGTTCTGTGATTAAATATATAAAGGATAGTTAAACATGAAAGTGACAGTTTATTTTGACTATTTTCAGCCTCCACTCTTCTTGGCCCCTTGTTTTACTGCCTGCTCTTGTCAACAGTGTAAGCAGTTCGTTAGAGGGGAGAACAGAGAATGATTCATTAGCCAGGCAGAAAAGTGCCTTGTGGGTGTCCATGCTAATGTGTTTTAACTCACTGTAATGCATTCACAGGAAAGTATTTATATCATAAGAATATAGACTACAGTAACCTGTACTACTCATATCATAAGGACATAGCCTGCAATATTCATATCATAAGAATATTACAGTCTGAACCATTCTCGTGAAAGATAATATTAAAGAGCTGTAGTACCAGGGCTGTGGTGATCTGCATGCTGTTTCTTTCCAGTGATTAGCCACAAGTCCTGCTCCTAAAATCAGGGAAACCACTCTTAGTCCATTTAGCAGCATAAAGTGTTTTTGTATTTTATGGAAAGTGGGATTTTGAAGTTTACTAATTTCATAAATCATTTCTTGTACATGTCTTTCTTTGGCATTTGTATTGTGAAATCTTTCCATCCTTTTTATTATGGAATTTTAATACTTGGAATTTTAGTACTGTATTATATAAGAAGGTTTTCTTGCCAATATATATGACATATATTTATTTAACTCAACTTTACTCTTGTTTGTGTGTGTATGACCACTTGTCTTCCTTGCGCTATCATTTCTTCAAATACCCATTCTTCTTTTGACTTGAAATGTAAACTTTTCTTACACTAAATTTATATGTAGATGCACTTATGGTTCTAGACCTACCACTGTGCCTCATGGGTTCATTTATATCTTCTATGCATTATTATTTGAATTACTATAGCTTTACAGTACTAGACTCATGGTTATCTAGTGTGTTAAAATCTTCATTTTTTTTCCTTCTTGGTTTTAATATTCTAGGTGGTCTTTAGAATTATTTTGCCATAATAATAATAATAATACATAATAATAATAATACATGAAAGTTCATTAAAAATTACAATTGCACTTAGAGAATGGTTTGGAAAGAAGTGATATGACATTTCTTCATTCATATGGGTCTTGTTTTATGGTTTAGCAAGAGAAAATTACAACTTGCTCCATGTACATCTTTCATATTTTTTGTTAGCATAATCACTAAGTGTACCACAGTTTATGGTGAAAAAGAGATTTTTATCATTACATCTTTAATGATTGGTAAAGGATAACAATTTGTAGAATGCTTATTTTGTGTGATACTGCCTTACCTGACTCCCTTATTCAGTTGTTTTTCAGTTACCTTTCTTGGATTTTTAGATAGACATTTGAAATAAATTACATTCTTGTCTTTAAAAAAATTTACTTGTTTTGAATACTGATGAATAGAGCACCAAGGTGAGTAATAAATAAATTTCATCCATTATTGGATCATCATACATCTTAAATTTTCTTACCATCTTCATTTTTCTGGAAAAGTTTAAATAATAGACACTTAATTGGGTTTTTTTGCTATTTAAAAATGCTCATCTGTCAAATAACCACAGCCTAGATTTTCTTAGAAAAGGCATCTCTTACTTTTTAGTTGATAATTTAAGGGTATTATCTTATTCAAATTTTGTTCTTTTCTTTCATTTTTGTTAATGTGTATCTTCCTAGAAAAATTTTTGTTTTGTCAAGATACTGAATTTATCAAAAATTAACATGGATGGGGGTTGCCAAGATAGCTCAACGGACTAAAGCACCTGCTTAGGCAAGCTTGGCAAGCCCAGGGACTGTGGTTTGATCCTGGCACCACATGCTGCGCCAGTCCTGCCCTCCGGTGCACTGAGCTGGCCGAGACCCAGTGTGGTGGCATATGCCTGTAATCCCAGCACTGTAGAAGCTGAAAGTAGGAGGATTGCTGAGTCTGTGCTACGTAGTGAAACCCTGCAACAACAAGATACATGAAATGCATTTAGCATTTGTGTAGCTTTTAGTCCAAATACATTAAAAAAAAAAAAGTTAATGTGGATTTGTTTGGCTTTTTAATCTTATTTTTATGTAGTTTTTCTTTTTTATGTATTTAGTGCGGAGTCTCCAGGGTCTCACTACATAGATCAGACTTGTAGTGATCCTCCTGTTTTCAGCCTCCCAAGCCCTGGGATTACAGGCGTGTACCACCATGCTCAGTCTCGGGGGCCTAGGGGTGGGGCTGGCGCAGCATGTGGTGCCAGGGATTGAATCCTGGTCCCTGTGCTTGCCTAAGCAGGTGCTTGCTTAGTCCACTGAGCTATCTTGCCTGCTCTTATGGAATCTACTTTTATCATTTATAAAACTTCCATATTTGCCTAGGCATCTATGGACTCCCCTGGTGGATTGTTTTTGGCTTTAAAAGTCTTATTATTTGAAAAGGTTTATTTACCTTACTCCTTTTAGCTACGTATTTGTGCATTTTTAATTGAGAAGTAAAAATGTATATATTTATCACTACCCATGATGTTTTAGAATATGTATACATTATGTCTTAATCAAGCTAATTAACCTACACATTACCTCACATACTTATTTTTATTAGAATGCTTAAAATTTACATTAGCCATTTGCAGAATAGCATACATTGTCACAAACTAGTCACCATGTTATATAAAAGATATTGATGGGACACAATAGCCAACACCTGTAAATGAAGAGGACAAGTCTGTTTTGACTCAGGGTTTGTGTGGCGTTTAGTCCATAGGCAGCGGGCTCTGAGACAGAGTGGCATGGCTGGGGGAATGGCAGACAAAAGGAACAGACAGAAGCTGCCTTCTCCTGCCTTCCCATTTACTGCATCCGGGCCACGAGCCTGCTGATCAGTGCTGCTTACAGTCAGAGTGAATCCATTCAGTCCCACTCAGAGCAGTGCTGATCCAGTCAGTGGGCAGTTCCTTCTCAGGTTGGCCCAGGAGTTGAGAGTGTTTCTCCTCTGGCTAGCGTTTCTCAAGCCTCTGATGCCCCTGTTGTTATTCTTTTAAAACATTATTTTGTGTCCTCTTTTTTGTTATCTTGTTCATAGGAATTCTGCCAATAAAGACCCTTCCATTGAATTTGTACATTATTCTGGGAAAAATGAACAACTCTATAATTTAAATCTATGAATGACTATTTCTTGGATACCTTTCTAGATAGCATTTAATGCAGTTTATATATTTTTTTCTAAAAAAGATTTTCTTGATAGGCTTAATTTATCAGTTATCTTATATTTTTTGCTGCCATTATAGTAAGTAGTATCTTTTCAAAATTTAAGGTTCACCTTTTTATGAAAGGACTGTAGGGTTCTGTGTATGCACCTTATATCTGACAACCATGTTACATTGTTTTCCAGAGAGTATTCAATACTTTTTACTCTGACACCCTTTTTGAATTGCTCATATTGTCCTAAGTTTATATTTATTTATGTCTGGTTTTGGTTTTTTATCTAAATATATGTTTAAATGAATCATATAGTGAGTCAAATACCTTGAATGCTGTTTGATAGTCCTTAAATTCAAGCAAGAAAATAAAGTTTTATGTATTTCAAATAATTTTTTTTTCTAGTTCAACTTCAGCAATCAAAATTGCACTTTTATCTCATTATATTTAGAATTCTACTTGTATTAGTGTGGTTTTTGTTACTATAACAGAATACCTGCGGAAGGCTAACTTTATAAAGAAAAAAGTTATTTAGCTCACAGTTTTGTATCTAATGTCTACAATTGGGTAGAGAGAGAGTGGCATTAATTCTACCCTGTTGATTCTCTTGGTGCCAATTGTATCAACAAGACAGAGTCCAAATGGGAGTTAGAATATCAAGAGTCAGAAAATCTGAGATCAGTGAACTAACACCGGTTCCCACCTCTTTAAACATTCACCACTTCAACATTGCCATACTAGGGACTGAGTTTCCCTGAAGAATAACTACAGCCAAATCATAGCACTACTGTTTTTAACTAATATCCCTTGTCAACAGAAAGTTTGATTAGTCTGTCTTTAATTATTTTCAGAAATACACAATATATGACTGATTTATTGGTCAAAATAAACCTTACTCCCTCATTAAAAAATTGGGATTTTTTTACAAATATATTTCTTTAATTTCTTTATTTATTTATTATGTATTTAGTACAAGGTCTACAGGGTCTCACTATACAGGTTGGACTCCAACAGGAGTCTCCTGTTTTTTAGCCTCCCAAATGTTGGGATTACAAGCGTGCGCCACCATGCCCAGTCTCAATCGCTATCTCAGCATGCCCCAGGGGCGGGGCTGGCAGGGCGTGCTGGGGATGGAACCCCGTTCCCTGTGTTTGCCTAAGCAGGCACTTTAATCTGCTGAGCTATCTGGCCGGCCTCTAAAACATTGTTTATTCACCCTCTTTTTAATGCTGCAAATCACTTTTTTTTTGTAGTAAGCAGTTTCCTTTATTGCTGAATACATTGCCCACTGTAACCACCCAGAAACCTAGCTGTTGTATAACTTTCAGGCAATCACCCAGTTTTCCCAAAATTGAGCCACCAATTCTGAACAACTAATTCTGTAACTTTTAGCAGAGCAGAGCTACAGCACGGATGCACCGTTCTCTTTGTGCTGATTCAAATGCTGAGTACCGGACTTACCCACCTGATGTCCACGGCGGAGCATTGTTTTTTCCTGCCAAATAGTTCTCAAAGCTGCTGTGCCCACAAAAGTGGCTTTCAACATGCCATTGAAGGGGGGAGTTGTCTGGGCCTGCAGAGCTCCTGAAGCAGCTGCAGAGAGACACTCATGCCCTGAATTAGTAATTTACTTCCTTCTTAACCACATGATTTTAGGGCAGATAAGAATGTATTCAGTGGGTGATACTTTGATAGCCAAAGCACAGCACTGATGGTAA